GGCCAGCCGTGAGCGGTCTTGCCATTTGGGATTTAAGGTGAGGAACTCGTCAAATTGCGCTTGTGAGGACCCTGAAAAGGGGAATAACAGTCGAGTGGCAACTTCCAGATTATCTAGACAAATCCATAGATCTGCCGCGAATTTGGCAGTTGGGAGTGCTAGTGCGGACTTTGCCCCCTCTAGGGCACCTTTTACTTCCGCATCGAAAACTTCGACGCCTTTTCCAAGGGCAAGACTTTGATGCAAGACTTGTACGCCTCCTTGGTATCCGATGAAGCCAGCGCCGCTCAAGCCGTTTAGTTGCTTCGAGCCATCCGAGTAGATAATGATGTCCCCGAAGGTGATGGTCGTAAGAAAGTTAAGGAAGGACTGTTTGTTTTCCTCTGTAGTGGTACTGTTCGAACCAGCCACCCGAGATTGTGCAGCTTCACGGCTCTCACGTGGATTCCAAGGAGGAATAGCGATTGCATTGATTTGCTCTGATCTGGGGAGTGAAAGTACACGTCGGGCAAATCGAGAGGTAGCACGCTGTGAGCTGAGAACCGGAATATCATAAGGTATGCAGAAGGTTGGCAGAAATTGTGATGTTTGCAGCTGTAGTCACGTGTGGAGAAAATGAAAAAAGGGTCTACTTCGGCCACTTCCCATTCCTGATAGGTTTGACAGTGAAATTGCAATCGATTTAACGACAGACTTGCCTGCAACACCGAACATTGACCCAAGATATTTGATGGTTGTAGTCAATTGCTCAAAAGGTAGTGTCACTTTAGAAGAGATAAGCTCTATGAAAGCGGACGACTGTTCTAAGATAATTCTCAAGCTGCACATTCAGTATCACGGTTTCCCTGCCCATATAACAACCGACAGAGGTTCAAATTGGGTGGGAGACTTCTGGCGAGAACTTTTTTGTCAAACAAGTATGAATCAACACCTATCGACAGCTTTTCACCCTCAAACCGACGGTGCAGCTGAAAGTGTGAATCAAGAAATCCTAGCTTATCTAAGAGCATTTGTAAGCTACACCCAATTTGACTGGAAGGATCTTTTACCCTGCGCCATGTTGGTCATTAACAATAGTGGCTCTGTCAAACAGATTACCCTAAATTTTACTATTTTATCATGATGTTTAAGTTGAGTAGTTTACAAGCAAGTAAACGGGGCTGATGCATCAAGGGCAATAACTGTTAAGGTTATGAGTTAAATGGGAACATAGTTACTTAGCACTTGTCACAATTTATGTTCTGAGATGGTAAGGAATTTTTTTTTTGCATCAGATTTTAATTTTGTATGCAGCTATCTAGCTATAACACAATATCAAAGAAAAGTACATGATAGATGACTCAATTTAAAAGTAGACCACTCCTGCCTCGGATTTCATTTGCAAGTACCACTGCGAAGTTATGGCGGCTTTTTCTTCACCCCAAGTCAACCCTCATCCGTGAATACCCACCCAGGGGAACGTCTCAAAAACCCTGAGTTATCCAGACATGTCTCCATCATCCATGAACTTTTCTCCGCGCGAAATGTGGTCTTTGGTGTCTCCTTCCCAAGTTGTGACGCCCCGACATTTTAGTGGCCACGCGGTCGTCGGTCCAATAGTTGGTAAGCCGACACAGGGTCAATCCAGGAATTCCAACGACTAGTTTCACACACACGAGTCTTGTGTGTGACAAATTGCGATACGAAAGGTTTGTGTTGGAAGTTGTGAATTGGTTCTTAGACGAAACTCACTCAAAGAATATAGGGACAACTTTAATACACTTCTTATTTCATAAATCAAATAAATTATTCACGTAATCTTGTTTAATATTATTGTATTATTGGAGAAAAATGATGTATATACAAGAAAGTATCTAAAGTTCCCTCAAATTACCTGTCTTTACCGCTAACCTCAGTATAGACTAGTGCGTCTATACTGAGTTATTTCTAATCAACCTTGCCGATCATAGCCCTCAATTGTGTAGCTCTATATTAAGCAACTAGTGCGAAATTACAACAGTTTGTCATGGATATTGGTTTTCATGCGAAACCCTTGGGTTGTAGGCAATGAGGGACAGGAGGTTTCGTGTTGGCAACTTTATTTCAACAGTTGAACCTCCTATGTACATATACAGATTCATATCCTCCTAGATACTTTTCTCTTTAGTTTGGAATCTTATGATTTGAGTCCACGCCAGCTTTTGACCACTCGCCAATCGTCTTTTGTCCCTCGAGTTTCCACAATTAGAGAGAGGTTGAGAACTCAAATGAGTATGGTAAAAGAGGCATTGTCGAGAAGTCGTCAGATGGAGATGTACTTAAGGTTACTTTTGACTTCGATTCGGATGCGATTCTTCTTGGCTATCCCTGATATGCAGAGCATACTAAGCGATTACACCAGCACCACTGGATGGTGAAGAATTTGTCTTTGCCGGCGGCCCAGTTGGTTATGGCTGGACTGTTTAAGGCTATAGGGCCCATCCTCAACTTGTAGGCACAAGCGAGTTTGTAAATCTCCTCACTATACGAGATTATTATCAGATAACGTGTAGAGGGCCAGGGGATATGGAACAGGAACTGTAGTTACAAAGGGCCGTAGCTTTCCGCTCCTATATTCCTCATAGAAAATACAGACATTTAATTGTGGCATTGCTTTCTTGCATTGGCCGAAAGTCCTAGCTCGTCACAACATTATCGTATTCTTGAGGCAGGCTCAGTATCAGAATAAATACTTAGAACGTATCATATATTGCAGTTTCAGGCTCCTAAGATGCTTTCTAGGATGTGAGATTCATATTGGTACCGTACTATTGTTGTAGGACCTGTTTTCATCGACTGAACTGCAAAATTTTGCTGAATAGTTGTACAATGAGAGCCATATCTATTATACCGTTCTGTTTTGTAAGGATATCACAGGCTCCTGCTGCTGTTTAACAAATTTGATGCTTATATCAGTATTCTGAAGGATCGTCCAAAGTGCTTCTGCAAGCTGATACCTTATTACTTCAAGCACCTCATCAGACAACATTATTTTTTCTTCGCTCAAGGACTTAGGATCGATGCATTTTCCTAGGGCAAGAAACTTCTTTAGCCTTGCAGCAGCCATCTCATCTTTAAGTTTTTTTTTTTTTAAAAATCATTTAAGTGTATTCAGCTGTAGAGCTATGACACACGACCGGTGCTATGTATATATTTTGGACGACTCTTTGTAACGGCTGTTAAGCCTAGGGTTCCTGTAGCCTACGCTGGCTAGCGCAGGCCATGAAAGCAAGGGAACCTTCGGGAAGGATCTCGGAATACAAGGAGATTAGAAGATTCTCAGTGAACCTTCTGGAAGCACAATGAAGGTTCATGAGGACAACAGGTATATCATGAATCTTCTAGGGTATTGTCGAGGAGTCCGTGTTATTCTAGTCATAGGGAGAACCTTATAGTAGAGGAGTATCTCAGAGTGTATATATTTGTATTCTAGCCATAGGAATTCTTTCTCTAGAGAATTATAATTAAAATACTGTACCTACAAGATCGCCCAAGCATGTTGTACTAAAACCGTGACACTCTTTTGACGTTAGAGACACTCATACTCTGGATTTCATTTGCAAATACCACTATGAGGTATGTTCGCTTACACAAACAATCGACCCTCCTCCGTTAGTACCCACCAAGGGGACGTTTCAAAACCTTTGGTTGTTCAAGCATGCCTTCGTCATCCATGCATACCAACGCCGCGAGAATTGTGGTTGTGTTTTGCCGGATTTGAACCAGCGATCTACTGTCTCGAGTGGGATAAGTGTCCAAGCTATCCAGACCTTAATTGGCAGACCGGCCAAGACGATGTACCACCGCACCATCCAACCATGGTAGTGTTTATAGTGTCGCCTGCACTCATCCTTTAATTTATTACGCTGTAGAGTATAGTTTCCCGACCTGAAAGTTTGATTCCGCTGCATTTGCCCTTTGTGTGGTTATAAAAATATGTCTTGCATTCTTACCTTCTACGAGTATGAAGATTTATACAAATATGTGTTTAGTTAATACACGATAAGAACGGATCGTTCTACCCCTAGCCGAAGAGGATTTATTTGAATCAATTTAAGAATTTTTGACGTACAAGAGCTATCATCACCTATTCATAATTTTTTTATCAAGTGAATTACTTCTAAATTTTACCCTGATCAGCAGAGATATAAATTTCTGTAAAAGGTCCGAATAATGCAAACACCGATGGATTTTCCAATATTACTACACAGCATAAATTGGCAATGTTATCTTAGTGGTTGTGATTCTTCTGGAGGCGTTTGGTCTTATCGTGACGTTTCTCGCTGGTGTAAGGATCTAATTAGATGCGTACAATTCTACAAAATAGATTAAGTTCATTTGATTCAAATCCGAATATTGTACAATTGTTAGCCAGGGTGATGATTTCGAAAGCTTCTGTAGACTTTTGTTGATGTGATGATAACATTTAGGGGCAGCGAGTACTCTTGTGCAACAAACATAGGATCCAATCAGTTATATACGTAGACAAAGGGCGAAACGGCATGATTGCGGCCGCAGTATTAGCTAATTAATCTGTTGCGCCGTGGTTCTCATCGGTAAGGACTCCTCATGGCTCTGTTCCAAGGTTCAACTCCTGAATTTGCTGTGAAAACTAACGTGTATACTTGAATCTAGAACTTAGGTAGCATATCTCGTTTACGAGGACTGGTCCACAGCAGAAATGATTTTATGTTGATCTACGATGAAAGCCATTAGGTGGAATCTCAAGAGATATTTTTATTGGCGTTGGTATTGCAGAATATAAATGGGTTGTTTTTGTCTGTAAGTCAATCATACCTATCCGAAGCACGTTTTTTGTTTGTGTTGCCCAGGTGAGACGCAATAGCTGATATTCTTCTCACAGGTTCACCCATTGTAGATAAAGGCCGTAGCTTCTATAGATTAGGGTTATCCGGAGTAATCACCCAAGGATCCCAGGAGAAAGTATATGTTGAATTGATACTATGTATGGATCGAGGCTTTTAGCTAAGATTTTGAAGATAGCCTTGTGCAATCAAACGCTCGACATCACCATGGCGAACGTAGAACTGAGAGTTTTTGCTGAGATTAATTGTACTGTGTGAAGCTCTCATTAGTAATGTTCGGTACTTGAGAAGAGATGAACGTATGAGAGTGAGGCAACTGAGATGAAAGGGGTGTAGCGTACCCATACTCGGTCTGAATTTCACCAGCATCTTTGAGTACGCGCACGTCAATGAAAAGATCGCGCGGCGGCTCCAACGAGCCTGTCAAGTCAATATCTGTCCATTGACCCTTGAGTGCTGCGAGTAAATCACTAAATTGGCGCATATACTCCTCCTCTTCTGGGCTAAGACTATGACGGGAGGCAGATGGCTCTGAGGCCTCACCCCCTGTGGCCCCCGGCGATACAGCGACCGGCACCATATCAATTCCGTCACTCTCCTGCCACACCAGTGCCTTGAGCTTTTCAGCGCGCGTGCGATGATACGCAAGCAAGCAACGCTTATTGCGACGAAGACTGAGATGGTTGACAAGTAGCGTAGCTGCCTGCGCTGGATTTGCTGATGGATCAAATGAGCCGGAAACATTTGAAAGAATCCGGTTTACGCTCTGATCAAGCGCATGTACTTCGTGTACAACACTGCGAACTAGATCGCTTTGATACGAAGGCACGTGGTCGAGCTTCGCCATGAGCTTCGCATGTTGTACCTATACCCATGAAACCGTCAGTCAACATTCCCTGAAGAGGACCATCAGTATTACGAACCAACTTATTTCCTGAGTCTCCATACATAGTTCCCAAGTGTTATGTCACTAAAAGTCTTCGTAGGTAACATTCCGCATACAAACTCCTTGTTGCTACCTTTGAATTAACTTATGCGTTTGCATAGGCGCGATAAGCGACACTAATGTGGATCCCGGAAATACATTCAGGGTCAAGGATTGACCGGCTTACGGAAAAACAATTTACAACCAAAAACAGTATTTCTCTCAATAGATGATAGGACGGGAAGGACAGGAATGATCCAAAGGGGAACACCTTCCAGCCTCAAAAAACATCTGAGCAGGGCCCAGAGTAGCATAGCTATGCAAATAGGAACCGAACACTTCGGGTTCAATTCCTACCTGCACAGAAGAAAAGTTCTAGGAGTAGATAGTCCACGATACCGATATAGATATCCGCCCCAAAATGAATAACACAGTCATGGCCTATACCAGTTGGGCAAAAGAAAAAGGATAAATACAGAGAAAGGCAGATAACCGGTCATTTCAGGCCATGATGAAAAATCCAAAAGATATAGCAAGAATAATTAGGTAGTGACAGGTAACTGGGAGCCTGACCTGTGACAGGTGAAGTATATGTAATTAAAGTAAAAGAAAACCCAGTAAAAACAACTTAATTTCTATTTCTCCCGGAATTCTAGGACTATATACACTGATCATGATTATCTTGATTTCTAAATATAGATATGCGCTAGGAATAGAATAACCCGCAGTTCTAAATACAGAATGAACGCACTGACCGAAACAAACAACCCACGTGCGTATGTACAGTCCCTATTTTTGACCCGAGACATTTCTCTGTCCAACTTCTTGGGTGGTTATTCTTAGCCGTCGACAAATAGATCCAGCATGAGGGACGGCTAGAACAGTTTCGACTGACAGTTAAGGTCGAAGCGACAATGAGGGAGAGAGAGAAGAAAGTAGAAGGAAGACAAACTTCTACAAGTCATAGGGAAGAGCACGGTATCCGCACTAGACATAACAGTGTTAGTTCATTTCTTGAAGGTAATACAATATCGAAGTGCAGACAAATTGAAAAGTTGAGAAGGTTTATACCATAAAGGTTTGCTCCTATGTAAATATTAGAGTTCGTAGACACATGCAAGGGCCCATAGAGCGCCAAATCGGGCTAAATGAAATCAAAACCAAATATTTTTATTATGGAGAGAAGAATATCATTTGTGCCAAAAAGCAACGCAGCTTTCTACGCTGTCTTTACCATCCAGTTGACATCGTGAATCCAATTTTTTTATCTTTTTAAACTTCCTCCCGTCATTTCGCTTTCCGTGCTTCAACATGGCACGTGAAGATGCTAGTATGAATAAATTCGGCGGTTTTGACGCGTCGCACAAAGCGGAAACGGCCACCATCAACAACAGTTGCGGAGCGCAGACAGCTTCAGAGGGTAAGAATTTAGAAATAGTGGGGAAATTATTTAAACAGATTAGACTAATTGTGATGGCAGAGATGTATGAGAAGGACCTAACATATACAGAGGATGTTAACGAAGCCGTGAAGGCATTCAATGCTCACAAAAGGACCTGGACTGAAATGTCCCACAAGAAGGTTCCAATGGAGGAGACGATGATGGCTATAAAGTAAGTTGTCAAAAAGATCCTTGCGGATCCTGCTCGAAATGCTGCTCCAGCAGTGACTTTGGGTGCGCCGATACCAAGGGTCTACGCGTCGGTCACATCTCCGCAAATGACGAAAACGGCGATATGGATCAGAATTGACGGAGCCGTCAAACTACAGCCAGAAGAGCTGCTATCAAAAGCAAAACAACACATCGATGGCGCATACGCATTTCGACAAACGCGTAGTAACGACACCGAGGTGTTTGTCCAGTCGGAGTCCCAGGAAGACGCGGTGCTAAATACGCGATAGACAACTAAATTTAAAATCTTGCGGTAAGACTTTCGGTCGGGGTCAACGATTTCCCATTGCGGACACGAATTAAAGGGGGCAGAGATGCCAACAATTACGCCATCATCAGGTGGGTGGAGATAGCAACTAGGGCACTAATTCCAGGTCTTTCGATCAATAGAATTCGATGTTTATGTGATGGAAAGGAACACCAGCGGTCAAAGTAAAACGGCCGCACTCGCGGAACAATAGTGCTGAGTCTCCCATCGGAGGCAATGCGAACGGAAGTAGTTCGAAACGGCCTATTAATGAACGCCATGATCTTCACCATGAATTTGAGGTCACCACTGGCCCAACCGAAGTAGTGCTTCAGCTGCAGCCATTGGGGACACACAGGTGACTTGTGAAAAGACAGCTAGATGCGGTGAGTGCGTTGGTGCTTATCAAACTCAGGACTGTCTGGGGAAAATAATTTCTTGTGCGAACTATGGCAAGAAACGCCGTTCGTGGCAGAATGTAGCGTTTCTGGCCCACCAGGTCTACGAGAGAAGTGTAGAGAAGGCTCGGATGGAGCTGTTGTCAAGAACGGCGGAAATATGGAATGAAAAACCTACGGTGGCGCCAATGCGAACAGTCAGACCAACTGATGATCAGGGATTTACTTTGGTCACCAGTAAAAAGGCTGAAGGACGCAAAAGAGGGCCGGGACGGCCACGCAGGGTAGTCGAAGCCCCAGTGGTACCAACCATCGCTCCGACAGCAGCACCACCATCGGAGCCAACTCTTCGAACACTTCGAAGACCAACGCCGAGTGAGGAGGTGCCTTCTCTTTTCAAATTTTCTTAGCAAAAGTCTGATCGAAGGGGGAGTTAAATAAATTAGGGGAAAATGTATAAAATTGTGGTTGAAAGGAACGTTCTCAGCATTATGCCGGGTCAGTTCAGAGTAGTAGGACAGCGGGTTTTGTTGCTTAAAAGCTTTCACCCTTCTTAATATGGCTTACCGTCTTCATGGCTCTGTATATAGATACCACACAGGACGTTAAACTAGAGAAATTTAATTCAAATTGTTAAATGACAAGGTGTGTCTAGCTGCTACAGGGGCAATCCGAGTCAGGCAGAGTCAAACACATGAGTCGCGTCAATTACGCTATTCATGCAGATCAGTCGCGTGGAGGAAAATTTGTACTTAGGAGTCTGGCTGTCTCGATCTTAGTATACTTTTAGTTAACTCGAATATCTGATTCTATCTGACCTCAATCCACTGTGCTAATTCCATCGTCTTCTATACAGTCATACTGCGACAGAAGTCCTCCCAAATTTAATACAAATAAATAAATATAATACGATGTTCCCTTCATAAGCCAGATGCTCAGTCTCAGCCTAATTTTTTCACAAATTAGCTGTGTACAAAAGCACCTGAATGTACCAAGTGTATGCCTGTCTGATACTTGTTTGTTTTCTATTTTTCGTCCGTCGGGGCGCCAAGCTTGACTTAGGTCCCTACTACCCACTAAACTAACTATAGGCATGGACGCCAGTGCTTACTGCCCTGGTGGCTTCACCCTTGCTACTTTCTGACTAGGTTCGCAGGGTAATTCTCTAATTACATGATTGCGTGTAGCGTAGCACCTACAACTTTACAGCTAGTCGCCAAGGCTCTTTACACCTCTGATGTATTACAGCCACTCTCGGGATGCTACGAATAGGTCCATTCAGAAATACCGCACAATAAATGCCTGTCTGAATGTGGGAATTATCGGCAGGTCCAGCAACAGCTCTCATGCAAAGGCACGTGACTGTATTATCACACCGACCATATAGAGTTTACCAATTATTTGTGACTTTAATTGATATTTTGATTTCATTCAGCCCGTTGAGGTACCCTATGGGCTCATGCAGATATACCTAGCTGTAATATCTACACAGGAGGAAACCAAATTCGGTAAAAACTCCCCAAAACTGTCTGTCTTGTATGAATTGGATTTCTGAGGCTTCCTAAAGGAAGAGCGTTTACGCTGTTCATCCGGTGTGGATTACGTCCTGTCCCTGTCCACATCGTCTCATCTTTTCGTCCAATGCTATTTCTACTTCTCCTGCGAGCCGGAATTATTCAAACCAGTCTTTTGCCAGGATCCATTTTGTAATTCTCTCCATATCATCTGGGCTGTTCATATTGCAGCAAATGACCTGTATTTTGTCTTTCGAAGCACCTCTCCTCTTCCCATTGCCCACTGAGGACACGCCAAGACCATATGTTTGGCATTTTAGACGGATATCCACACTGGTATTTTGGATTAATCACTCCGGGGACTTTCCTTCGATACAGATAAGAATTGAGGCCAATGTGCTCACTTGTTATCTGAACTTCAATACTGCCTTGGGCCATGCCAGGGATCCGGTGGATATTTTTGGGTGTGTTTCTGTAGGTAATCCTTTTTCTGCCTGTCGTCTCATCTGTAACAATATCTGCAGCCAATCATTATACTCTATTTTTAATCATAGTGTATTCAGCTTTCTAGCTATGACACATTATTTACATAATTTATATCCCCCAAACTCCTTCCTTATACAAAATTTACCCAATTACTTGTTATTTTCCGATTGGCGTTTCCTATTTTAATATCCTTTGTGTGCTACCACGCACTTGGGTGTGTCCGAATATTTAGAAAGAGCCTCCTTTCCTATCTTTGTTCCAAATAGTATTGGAAGTGTACTTGGCTCTTTGCCCTGAAAACATCTGTTCCTTTTTTCTTTGAATTTAGGAAAATATAACAACAGGGGTTGCACATCTTGCCTTTCTTTCCTACAATAATTGTATATATTATCTTCAACTTTTCCTATTATATGCAGATAGACCCGTATATTTCCGATTCCAAACCTTGCCTATAAGAATCCCGACTCTATCTCCCTGCTATGTCCTTGAAATTTGAAAGGGTTCAAAAATTTTCTTAGTTAATTGGTTTGGGCCTGGATCCTATAATACTTGCCAAGTCCCTTAGCTTTTAGGCCCTCCTCCTCAGTATACCAATAAGTGTAGCAGGTTCAGCACGAAAACGCCATTCTAACCTGTTCATGTGCACAGGACAAACCCCCCGATCACTTCTTCTACCTTATTTGGCAGTATCCGAATCGGCTAAAGAAGACTTAGAATTTTACTTCCAACATGTCTTGGGCTTTGGCTTCAGTAGAGGGAGTTCACGCCTTTAATGGCTGGGCACGTACCACTGGTTTATTCACAGAGGCACAACAGTAAGTCTGACTAGACTTGAACCACTGAAAAGGAGACCAGAGAGCCTCAGATTGATATAGATACATTCTCTTTTTTTTCCTTTTTTACGTTTCCCTGTAACTACCATCTATAAATCATGGGGTCCGGCAAGAGGCTGACGTTCATGAATACTATAGTCTTGGAGCACAGGATTATTAGATCCTGGCTTTCACTTGCTTTGTTGAGTCTATGTAGGCGCCAACACGTCGGGTGGTTCAATTTAGACTGGGCTAACTTGTACGTGAAAGGCTCACGTGCCGTGCGTGGGCACGACGTTAAATATTGTAAATAAAGTAAATTGGCATAGCGGGTAGAAACACGAGAGAAGAGCACCACAAGAGTTATAGAGAGTAATCCATACTTTGCAATAGATATCACATACCTGTGATACCAACAATGCCTGGGTCTGTTATTCGTCACTCTGTAGAAATAAGTCTCAATAGTAAGCTTGAAGCCAAATCTCACAAACATGCATTTGTTCTTCCGCATGTTCATACCTAAAAATTTCACAGTAAAGTCTCTGTTATACTCTACCTTGACAACCTATCAAAATCCGGGTACTCAACAATCAGGTGTTGAAATCACATCATATTAGCGTGGTCTGTGCGTCGAGTTTGCCCAATCATGCGACCTAGCCTAGATCTAAGCGCGGGGAAGATGTCAAAACTGCTTGGGCTTCCAGCATCATGAATATAAGATGTTTACAGCGCAATCCATGCGAGAGACGCTCTTATTTTAAGAGCAACCGACCAGCCTCACTTATCCTCACAGTTAATCTTACACATGGAATCTGACAAGATCCATCGCCTATCCAGCCGACTTTTGAACAAACCATAATCATTTCAAATTACTCTCGCGGTCATAAAAAAGACACGGTTTTGTCTTTATCTATTACTCATTCATCATCAGTAAAAACTTCTGAGCTGATTCTGCTGGCCTGCATCATATACAGCTTGAATTGAACAATCATCCAAGCAAAGACCATTATCAAATCTAGGATTTGTGAACATTAAGCACTCTGATGCGTCACTCCTATCCGCTGGACTCATGGTATTAAATGCCAAGGCCTGATCTCTTGGAAACTCAAACAGCGAATACGATTTCATACTATCAAATGAAGCAGCGTGTACTTCATAGTTTATTTCTTGATCTCGATCATGTGCATTCAAATTATGAACAGCATCAGGATTATGAAACCCGTTCATGATAGGCATAGAATCTTTAAGGTTATCCATATGACAAGAAAAACCGAAGTCATTCTGACAATTAAAGTCTGCACCTTGCTCTCTCGGCAAGTGCTGATAGACCGATTCACTGCTCGGGGATGCGAAAGAAATTTGATTATTCTCGGTAAATTTAGGGTTGTTATGGTATTGCTCCGTGTAGCATTGGAAAGCGCGATCATCGTAACCGATATCTCCTGAAATCGACCCACTGGACTCAAACGACAAGCCTTGTTTAGAAGGTTTAGCTGTCACTGATTTATTCGGTGAGAATTTATACTCTGGATGAGCAATTTGATGATTAATACGCTCAATACGAGCCCATTCGTTGAATTTATCTTTTACAGCGCTTGGCTCAAATAACCAACTGGTGCCGCAGACCTGAGAAACAACTTGGTGGTTATTTTGTGAGCACCAACCTTTTGCTCTATTCTGGTATGCTTTCCTATAAAGCATAAAAGAGTTCATGGGACGCTTCACCTTTCCTGGCATCTTGCTTCTGACGACTTCACTACGTCTTTCTTCTATCGGCCGATTAACAAATGCATCTATGTCAATAAGTGGAATTTGCGTTTGATGTTTTGTCAGCTCGCTTAGCGGTTTTTCAAGCTTCGCAACTCTGTCTAGACTTGTTGATCCTTTTTTTCCTTTTTTAGGTTCCAAGTGCTTTTTTGTTTCTTTTCGTCTCACGGGCACATTACGGATTCTTTTCAGATTTTTAGGTCCATTACTTGTGTTTTCCCCGCACGTTTCTGTGCTTGAAGAAGAAAATGACAACATTTCTTCTGAACGTACGGGTTCAATATCAATCAAAGCATCCTATTCACTGTTATTATGTTTTGAGGACGAGAAGAAGGCCTTCATCTTACACATGATTGATTCAAAATTTCTTGATAGAATGCCGGCTGGTACAATGTCGGGTTAAAAGTAGATTGAAAGTATGCATTATCTGGTCTTAGTAACTCAGATTTTGAATGCAGGCTCGCTACTTGATTTTTTATTGTCTGAGTCTGTTGCATTGAGCTTGTATAGTCAGATGCAGGGGAATAAAAGTTGTTTTGCATTATCCTTTCTAGGCTTAATGTTGATAAAGATGAGATAAAAAGTTTCACGTTCAAGGCTTTTGTTTGAAGAATCCTGAAGATAAAAATTTATCTCTCAAAGAGTCGTACCTCAGGATACTTCTAATTATGACACACGATTAATTCCAAAAATAATTCGTTCAAATGCATTCAAATTAGCAACCGTTTGAAATTTAGTTAGAGCAAGCTGCGATAAATTAAGTAAAATTGGCTTTCAATCTTTGCACAAGTGCATTTTTATACTTTTGCCGTATTTTTGTTGGATTAACGAGCAATAGATTTTGATGCAATAAGTTTCTGTAATTATGATGGCGAGTGATTCTACTCAAAACTGTAGCTGAATGAAGTAACTGCTTTTCTACTAAAACCAAAAAATAATTCACAGCTCAAGCTCTCATGGGATATCTTCGGCGGTTGTTTCTCTATTAATCGCAACTGGCTTATCAATGTCTAAAGCTCAGATTTAGGCCCGGCTGGACAAGGGGATTGGAGAATTTGTGGCTCTATATCTGTTTGTTTTAATTGGCTTATTTTGAATTTTTGCGGTCAGTATCGTTTGAAATTGAACTCGTTCGACCTAAGTTTCTGACCTGGAAAGAAGGTTTGAATATGCTTTTTACTGCAGCGAGTGTATTGCAATTGTGTATTAATGAATTTATAGGCCGTGCAAGAGGTTCGTCGATGTTATGATACTTTGATGTGGTCTGAAAGCTAGTGCAAATGAGAGACGCAGGTGAAATGATATGTATGATACTCTTCGTGTGCAGTCGCTGGTGGATTGATGAAGCGAGGGAACAACTGTATCGGCTGCAGGATAGAAGAACTAGCTGGTGCTTTCTTTCTGAAAGCATCGAGCGGGAGTGAATCTGTTTCTGGTTGCCGGTCTCATTGAAACAGCTAACAAGCCCACCCATCCACTATGTCCTAACAGTCACTTTTGGATTTACTAGGTCCTTCGAGTCTAGCTTCGAAGCAGCAAATGAAATGATGGCTATGTCTATGTATCGGACCCAATATGTGCTAGAAATACTATCAAGATACAGTCAGTCTATCGGATCTTATGATTTACTTTACTAATCGCAGTTGCCTTGATTCTATTCTGGGCTTCCCATCGTAATATGGATGAAGTAACCAAGATAAATATTCAATTCCGGCATGATATTCTACTGGAAAAATATCGACGATTCATACTTTCACCTTTCAGTTTTTACTTCCCAGTGCTGAGGCCAAACGCAATGAGGAAAAGAATGTTCCTTCAAAGGTGATCTAGAAATTTCGACTCTTCACACAGCCATGCGTCGCTCCCGCCAAAACGGCAGTCTAGCCACAAACAAAAAATCTTAAGTAGATTAGATCTCTTCCGTTTCACCGTCCTCATTTTACACTATCATCCATCGTGCTCGCGCCCATGTTCACACAGTTCCCAAGATAAATTTCTTCATTACCTCCTCTATCGAAGCATTATTGACATCGCGATGGGCGCCAATTTCTGTCGCTCGCGTCGATATCCCACGCGAGGAATGTGATTGAACCCCCTGGGTTTCCGATCCAACGGCATTCATGAAAGCGGCCGAAGCCCTCTTAATGCAGGTACCGTCATGAGGCCTTGCATGGCCGACCTGCATGTGGCTTACTAGGCTATAATGGGATAAGCTAGAGCGGGTGGCTGCTTGCAATTATCCTTGCCCGCTGAAGGGATGCGTGGGTCAACTAAATGTCATATACACACGGAATAGCTTCAGAACAGAGCCATCGCTTCACTCCGTGTACATCACACTGGATAATTATGGATACGGGAGTAATTGTAGTCGGTGTCCGCAAACCCTACATTCTGTTGCTGTAACAACTTCTGCAAAGAAATCTCGCTCGTGCAGTGCTCATCAATCATACTAGATTTATCACGCTGTTAATCCCTCGAAGTTGAACTGATCTATCATTATAATATATTTGAGTCGGGCCACTCGGCATTCTAAGCTTTGTCCTAGAGCCACAATGAAACGTGTTTCCGGAGGCTCATCCAATTTTGTTTTCCATCCTTGCTCCCGAATCTAGAATTTAGTACTCAACGTTTGTTTGCATCTACAAGGTGTTGCTAGGCGTAGGACACGATAAACTCCTGTGAACGTACTCAAGGGGAAAGAGCTTTTCTCATCCTGGGAAGGACCACCATTAAGCGCGCTTGGGCAATGAATTCTTTCGTAACTACACTTTCAGCTGATGTATAAGTGCTGCTGGTCAGAAGCAACCACACGACTAGAGGTTCAAAGTTTGGATTTTACTAATGATATATGAGAGATCTGTCGGATTTACCGTTAAATATCTATAAATTTGTTATCGTCGTAGTTCGTCTGAATGACTGACTAGCCTTACAAGTATTAATAGTATCGTCGCTATTAACTACGGCTCTTTGAAGAAAATCCCAGCCTTAGGCACCACATAGCTGAAAATAGACAAGTTGCGCTAGGTGTAAACTTATCTCACTTCATGCTTTCCCTTTCCAGTAGTTGGTAGCAACAAATGGCATCTTAGTCACCTGAGCTTTACGCTTCTTACCCCTCACGATAACATCAACGTCTGTTCCAGGTTTATGAAATTTGTCTTTTATATAGCCCATAGCGATGTTCTTGCCCAGGCTAGGACTAGGGCACCCACTTGTGATTTGGCCAATCTTATCTCCGTTTGCATTGACGATTTCGGCTCCTTCTCGAGCTGGCACTCCCTCGATAATTAACCCGATTCGACGCCTTTGGACTCCCACGCCTCCTTTACTTCTTGGGATGAGTTGAGGAAGGATAACCTCTGAGCCATGAAAACCACCACTTGATCTTCGAGATTTTCCGATGGTCCAGCTCAACCCAGCCTCAACAGGTGTGGTGTTTTCATCTAGGTCATGGCCATAGAGGCACATTCCAGCTTCTAATCTTAAGCTATCTCTTGCAGCTAGACCCGCAAGTTGTAACTTTTCTGGAGTACTCCTAAGAAGGAGAGTATTTGTTACTTCCACAACGTCTTTGGGTGGAATTGAGATTTCGAACCCATCTTCGCCAGTGTACCCACCTCTAGTAACTATAAGTGGAGAGCTAGTGGAGCCATTTAAAAGGTGAATCTGCATGTGTTTGCACTGCCCAAAGTGCATATCAACGAGGTTGACTGCCTTCGCTGGGTCAAGAACACTCGATAAAATATCTTGGCTTAGAGGTCCCTGCAAGGCAATTAATCCGTAACCTTCCATAACATTCCAGTTAACCTCTCGCTCACCTTCTTTCGCGAAAGCATCTAGCTCTTCGCGGAGATAAATGAGATCCTTTTCTCTACAGCCAGCGTTGGTCACCATGTAAAAGTTATCCACATCTAGCTTTGAAATAATTGTATCATCAATAATTCCTCCTGTTTTAGGCTTTAATAGGGTACTCAGTCCACCTCTTGAGACATCTAGCCCTGTAATATCTGATGGAGTGATGCGCTCCAAGAATGAGGTGGCTCCAGGACCACTAAAAATATGCTGAACCATATGTGAAACATCAAAAAGTGAGGCGTGCGTACGGGTAAAGTGATGCGACTCGGATACAGATAAGGATGAATATTGAACAGGCATATGGTAGCCTCCGAATCCAACCATTTTACCACCGTGGCTAACATGGAGATCGTAGAGTGGAGTTTTGGCTAAAGTTTTGGTATCTGATGAGGCATTACGTGAGATGATAGATGCATTTTTTGGGACTGATTTCCTCCAGCGGATCGAGTGAAGTTGGGAGCTGGAATTTATTGTAACATTCCGCAATAGGGAGTTAGAGAAATGGCGAGTGCTGTCCCTGATAGTAAATGTTTTTAGCAACCGATTCACTGGGCGAAGGCTTTGCATTGTGATTGGTACTATTCCGTAGTTAGTGAGTCGGAAGCTGCTTCAAGTTTTACAGGTGCGGAGATGTTTAACCAACTCACCGCATTCTGCTTTTTCGGCCTTCACATACCCTAGTACGCGTGCAGAATCGGGTCTAGCTTGGGGGTTAAGGATGGCACTAGGAGGAAAATATGTAGCTAGACGGTAGACTACGAATCTAATCACTCAACCCAAGGGATTATTTTCGAATATCCCACTAGCTCAACATGTCCGTGGTATTTAATCATCGCTAATCTGCTTGAAATACCTTTTTAAGTAAGATTAAACAACTAAACATCTTCAGTTAGCGCGTTCAACATGAGGTAAACAACATGAGAAAGGGGTCGCAAAAGGTGTCACAAGATCTGAGCCCAATAAATAACCTCGAGTAGAATATCACCCTTTTATGATTCTCAACACCTTTTAGTGGTTCCCCTGCGAACTTTCAGTTCTCACTGTAAAACCTGCTGAGCGGAGATTGAGTAACACCCTTCTAACTTTGAGCTGAGTTATCACTCCCTCCGTCAAAGATACTCTTCCGATAACACATCAAATAACCAAGACGAAAATAATAATGCCGGGAATGAACAAAGATGTAGCAGTACCAAACGCACCAACGGTAATCAGAGAAACTCTCATCATCACAACGTGTGCCACCCACCGACGGGTAAACAAAAAGCTCACAAAAGCAAAGTAAAAGACCCATCCGTCTTCAAGAAAAGCAGATTTAGACTCGTCAATAATATAGTCCCTTCTAACCTACAATTACGAATATACTAGCCAGGAAGGCTTCTGAAATACATGAGTTACTCGACGACCCCACGTCCGTATTGGCTTTTGGATGCTAGACTTGGCTCCTTCACGGCAGTCACTCTCGACCAAGGCTTTTCTGACATCTTTCCACGACCTTCGGTTTTTCCTGCGGCAAAAATCAGGAGGGTAAGGAGGAGGCTAGGAAGGTTGAGAGACACTCTTATGTATACACAGGTGAGCTGCGCCCGACTGGCCGGCCTCTTCGTCATAGGAGAGCCTTGCACCCAGTGGTTTTTGGGACATTTCCCTGCAGTTACATACCCGCCAATGACTATCGTTTCGTTGGCTGGAGAGTGGAGAAAATAACGGGATAAAGACTCCTCTTAGTTTGTACTCAAATGAAGACCTGTGGGGGTATTACTGCTGGAAAGAAGTCGTGAAAGAGGCATAGGAGGGAGTTTACTACCTGACACATAGATACTCCCGGCCTTTAGATGAAAAGGACTTACATATCCTGATAGATTGGTAGATTTAATAGCGAATAAGCGAGAAAGTATATCTAATGTGCAACTTGATTCTATGACAATCTAGCACATTGGGCTCCTTTCTGACCCAGGCCACACCTTAAACAGTGCTCCTGTCCTCTTTTAATACTTGAGAGTTCTCTGATATATTGTCAGTGATGGATAGCCATTCAGCTCAGTCGTTACGCATAGAATTCAGCCACCTATTCCGCGGAACTTTTTACCCAAAAAAAATAAAAATGGTAGCAATGGAAACTGCGTGTGCGGGAAAAAGTCTCAAGAAACCTGGAGCTCCAGCCAGGTGATGCCTAGACACTGGGACCACATGAGGTGCGCATATTCATCTATATCTCCATTCTTTGTAACATTCTCGGTCGACTTGATCCAATCCACCATCTCCGTATCGGGTGCTGGGTACGCTCCGGAAACTTATCGGATGGCTTTTCCTCCATGATCAAGGGTTGGTGATGATTAGGGCTCCGACCCTATCATCTGATCTGGTGGTGGTTAGCTTCATGATAATGTTGATAGGGGAATGTGTTGAGAGATGAGGACGATACAGACGGCGAAAGCGATTGGGAATCCTCGTCGAAGTGAGGACTTTGTAACTCAATCTCGGCTCTGTAGACTTTGCAGTGAGAGCTGGAGGTTCGTAGGGGACACCACTGCAGAGAGCGGTGGTGGGAGAGCTGAACATCACGGAGATTTCTCATTTTGCTCGTGCTAAGGATGGAGTAGGGGTGGCGTAGTCATTAGACAGGCCGATTTCGTTAGAGCTCCTGCAGCTCAATTTGCACACACTATAACCGTGGATCCAGGCTAACGCATTCATGCCAAGGTTATCATGTGATCCCAACATGATGATACATCTACTCTTACGATCTTGATGATCCGACTCTCTAAGAATATAAGATTATATTAAGGAAATAATGACTCCTCAGTCATTGAGGTTGTATAGCGCATGTATTCATGTAATTCCCCAAGTGATACTAAGTACAGAATTTGTAGTCTCATGTGTATTAACAACGTGGCCTACTTGATAGCCCCGATTATTTTAATTTCAAACAGAGTATTACAATAAAAGATGGAGAAGCTGGGGAACAACTTTGGTTTGTTTTGTTCATTAAAGTGCTAGGTACATGATAGCTATCGCACTCTGTTGATAAATTGGCACGAAGTAGTTTATCTTAGAGTGAAGAAAAGTGATTGTTTCATTCTTGTGAAGTATTCCACCTCTCTTTAAATACAAGTCCTTCCGTCCTTCATCCTATCACCCACGTACAGACCATATAATCTCCCCATAATATTGTACAAGCTTAATGTGTCAAATAATCCTGAGTATGATGAACATGATTAGCACCAGTATTGCAAACAGTAACTGTCAGGAGCGACTAATACTAGTACAAGGTTACGAGTCGTAGATAACATGAATATAGATAGTTACAGAATATTTTCAGAGATAACGTCAGGTAAAACGTTTAGAGCTCAATATGTCTTGCGTTAGATCTTGGTGCACTTAGCCGGCAGGGTTATGTGTACTCTCTTGTTGGTTTCACATCGCTTTGGATGCAGGTCATAGTTAGGTTGACACACTCCAACTAGAGCTTAGGCACGAGTGGGGTTGGGCTAGCTAAGGTTAACTACCGTGAGGTGCAGATATATCTCGACCCACCTAAATGACCCAACTATCTAAGACTACGCCTATGTGTTGAATCATACCAATTCGAAGGAGGGCAAGACTTAACACCTGTACGCGGTGTTCTCTACGAACTTAGGAGTGAAATATTCTCCCAGAGCCAAGTTCAGTCAAACTTCGCAATACCACACCTCGTTAATTTTTCACTCCCATACAGTCCGACTCCTACCTTAGCTTCATCAAGTCTACAAGTACGACCCAGTGCATCCTAATCCCAATTGACCACACCTATCTTCGAAATTTTCTGGCCTCAGCTGGTCACCAAATACACGCCCACATCAATATTTGTACACACCGGAGAAAACAAAACATGGCGCACAAATCTGGGAAACAGTTCATTGGGATAGACGTGAGAGGGTACAGGACAAGCTGACAAGATGATGCAAAGGAAGGATACAATCTCGACTGGCGTGTGAGTTTGAATTTTGGCAAGAGTTTTACAAATTGAGCTTTGTGTGCACCAAGACTTCGCTTGCAAGAGTGCAGCTAACACTATAAAAACAAGCCGACGATGGAAGGTGTTGTGGTCCGCCTCCTGGTGGTATTCTCCGGTATAGTTTGAGTAGCCTGGGCACCTACTCCACCTGGGAAGGAGACGCCTCAGACCACATTTCGCGCGGAGAAAAGTTGATGGATGATGGAGGCATGTCTGGCTAACTCAGGGTTCATGAGACGTTCCCCTGGGTGGGTATTCACGGATGAGGGTTGACTTGGGGTGAAGAAAAAGCCGCCATAACTTCGCAGTGGTACTTGCAAAAGAAATCCGAGGCATGAGTGCTACCTCTATGTTGAATTATCTATTATATACTTTTCTCTGATATTGTGTCCTAGCTAGATAGATGCAAACGCGATTAAAATCTGATGCAAAAAAAATTAAAGATTACGAGTGACCCTAGCTTGAAAAGCGTGATTTTATATGAACACATAACACTGATAGTGTGTCATAACTGTATATGTGAATATATCTTATGTAGTTGAAAAAGCATAAGGCAAGCTTGTACAGGTGGTTGGGATGCACACCGCTGCAAGGGAGTTCAATTTGAAACTAAGAATGACTTATCCGACGTTATATGGTGGTCTACTAAGGCCATACATCCCATGTAAGAAACAAGTCGTGATGCATGGCTACTATAAAATACTTCTCTTCTTTATAGGAAACCTGGTTACAGGGAGTAAGTTTATAGCATTTGAAGTTCTTGTGATTTAGAAGGAAATAACTCACAAACCGATAAAAAGCCAGAAAAATGTGAAGGACTAGACTTGGTTTCCTGCCATCCCAATGCGACGCTCATGTCCTTTGGACCCATTATATGGCGTGGAATGTTGGGGGTGTAGGCTTTGCTCAAGCCTCGCCGGTGTGCGTCTGGGTTAAGTAAGGAGTCGAGACGGCTTTCTCTTCTGGCATGCGCTGTCGCATACGTCGCGCAGATTGGTATCTGGGGAGAGGCCTGTAGCCATCCAGTCACGAGACTTCAACAACGGCTCCTCGGGGACGGTTATCCGACGGTCAAGGATTTTGTCAAGCTAGGAACGTGTAGTCATCACTTACACGCCAACCCTACTCAGTCATCCACTCAGGGTTAAACCCTCATTGTCTATTGGAAAAGATTGAAAAAACAGTATTTATCAAAACAAGTGAATTTTGGTAGTTTCATGTCTACTTTTAGCAGTCCTTAATAGTCTTAGACTCAGTAGGGACTTAAATTTAATTCTATTCTATTCTATTCTACTCAGTCATCCATGTGGCTTGGGTCACAGCGGGCTTCTGGCAACAGGGATAGGCCCAGGTACTGCCCGACACCTCTCGCCTACTCGGAAGCGCTGGGAGAAAGCATATCAATAGTTCAGTCGGCCCGACCTCCCCACACTCCTTGTCCACTGAGATGCACAGATACTGCTCAGCGTTGGCGTGTCCCTTCAACCACTGCAAATCCCAAGATAGTCGACAAGCCACAGGACCCGCTTAAGCCGAACCTTGACATGGTCCTGAATGTACATGCCTTAGCTGCGTTTTTGGAAACAGAGGCCTACACTGGCAAGTTTAATTCAGCCGTTATCACGCATCATGGTCAGACCTCCCTTTACTGCCCCGCATTGCTTCTGGCAAGTATACACGGTGAGGCCAATGTTCCTAGCACGTGATTTTGGTTCAACGTTCCCTCGGCTACGCTACTGCCACCTTATGCGATCTTCATGTGACGGTCGGTTGACATGCTAGATCTCTGTCACTTCATACCTTCACCAAGAACAAGCGCTCATGAATCTGCGGGTTTCACTGCTGTTAGTGCTGTAATATCTTGTATCCACCACATATCCTTGAATCAATTTTCATTACCGCTTGGCAACATGGAACTTCCCTTCCTTCGTCTCGGGCCACATGAATCCGGCATTAGTGCTTTCAACCTTGAAGTCAAAAGATGTGCTAGAGCAACTGGCTTCCGTACCAACTATGCTTCATCATCCTTTATTTCGCCACCATTCTAGCCTTCTTTCCGATACTTACTCCACGACCAACCTTAGGTTTGCCTATTAATGTCCTCTAGCTTTTTTGAGATGAGGTCGTAAATTCCATGCCCTTTGAGAGTCCCACCCTACTACAGTGAATCTCGCAGCATTATCATGACAGATTATCCCTTTTAGATAACAGGCCGTGCCGCATGAAGATGGAGAACATTCCCGCTGCTAAAAAGTTAGCCCAGGTCAACAATTTAAAACCAATAGTCAATAATGTACGACAAGACACAGCAGAGTTGGCAGTATATGCTCTTTCTGATCGGCGCTCCATGCGGAACCTCTCTCCTGCCTCGAGGCAACGAAAAATATATCTAGGTCCAGAAGAGAACCCCTCACTGGGGCCGAATTTTAATGACTTGATGAGTAAAAGTCAGGAGAGCTCTTATTTAAAAGTAACCGATGGGATGACAGAGTCTATGATATCAAGGGCTAGAACATTAAATACTGAAAATCATGGAAAAAGTTCAATTAGGAATGGACTTCGATGTTATCTATCTCGAAATTTACAATGTGACGAAATGAACAAACCAGGAACAAGACCAATGGCATATACCAGCCTGGATAATGACTTTGACCAGTCCTCATCATTCAACTTACCAAGCGCTCCGCCTAATTTATCGGAGCAAACACCCTTACTGCAACAGGACATCCGTAAAAGAGATCAGAATGATCCAGTTCCTATCAATGGGCAACAAGATGTAGAAGGACAATATCCCACGCATCAACGTCACTGGTCAAAGATTTCTCACCTGATAGAAAGTTCCAAGATCGAAAAATTTCAAAGATTTCGGCTTATCGGCAGGCCTAAATCTTGGGATTTTGAATCTTCATGGCTTAAAAGCATTCAAAAACCAGCACAAGTTTTACCAGCTGTTACACTAGGTCTCCTCCTCAATATTTTGGATGCCTTGTCCTATGGTAAGCCAGAAATTGATTACGTACATCTGAGTAGCATGCCTCCAATTAAGTTAGTATATTATATTAATCATTAAACTAATCACTTTCTATGGTAGGCATGATACTTTTTCCTCGTGGCCTTGCTCCATTTTCAAAGCTTGGCCCTGCAGGAATATCTATGTTCTATGTGAGCTGCATTGTGTCTCAACTTGTATTTTCATGTGGCGGCAGTGGATTTAAGGGAGGAGTCGGTTCAGAAATGGTAATTATTTTAAAAAGCGTCCTACTAGAGCTGATGTGTTCTAGATTGAGGTTGTTCCTTTCTTTCACTCAATGGCGCAACTCATTCTAGACGACATGGGGGACAGCAATCCCTCTGCTGTCGTTGCGACTACACTTGTAGCCTACGCCTCTAGTTCTATTTTAACCGGAGTAGTTTTTTTTCTTATCGGGCACTTCAGTCTCGGTCATATTGTTGGCTTCATTCCTCGCCATATCCTCATCGGATCGATTGGTGGGGTGGGCTGGTTCTTGTTGAATACTGGTCTAGAAGTGACTGCACATCTAGAAACAATGGAGTACAAAATAGCGACTCTACAAAAATTGCTGGATCCTGAAACCTTTCTACTGTGGCTTATTCCACTTTCGCTTGCCATCTTTCAAATTTTCACCGATAAAAAGCTGAACTTCAAGTATTATCTTCCTGCGTTTGTGATGCTTATCCCGGTAATATTTCACACTGTTGTCGCATCATTCAGTAAGCTAGATATTCCTAATCTACGTAGTACAGGCTGGATCTTTAATGGGTCTCACGGGGAACCATGGTGGCACTTTTACACGCTCTACAGTAGGTCACATTAATTCAAGCACTGGAAATTTTCTAATTTAAATAGACTTTAGTCTTGTGAATTGGGGCTCAGTATTGAAATGTGTCCCCGCGATGTTTGCACTAACATTCTTCGGCATACTTCATGTACCAATCAATGTCCCATCACTTGCTTTTGTCATAAGAGAAGATAATTTTGATATCGATCGAGAATTGCTAGCACATGGAGCTTCGAATATGATTTCAGGGCTTCTTGGTAGCGTCCAAAATTACCTTGTTTACACAAATAGTGTAATCTTCATCAAGACTGGTGGTGGCTCTCGTCTTGCTGGTATTCTTCTTGCACTGACCACTGGCATGTTTATGATGACTGGATCATCAATCATTGGCTACATACCTGTTATGATGGTTGGAGTGTTGATTTTCATTTTAGGGATTGACTTGCTTAGGGAAGCCTTATGGGAGCCTAGAAAGAAGCTGAAAATCCCAGAATACATTACGGTCCGAAAAATTTTCTACCATCTATAGGCCTAGCTAACACGGTTTTTAGGTCTTGGTGATTGTAATTGTCATGGGAGTCTACGATTTTGTGGCTGGTATATTTGTCGGTATTGGTCTCGCATTTTTGTCTCTGGTTTTTCAAACTTCCCGACTATCAGCAATACGAGCAATATACTCTGGTGAAGTTGCTGGCTCAACCGTTCGCAGGAATCCTGCTCAATCCTGGTATCTAAAAAACGTAGGGAAACAGATCCAAGTTTTCAGGCTCACTGGATATCTTTTCTTTGGCACAATTGCCAGTTTTGAGAAAAAAGTCTGTAGCATGATTGAAAGTGCTATTTCGAGTGAACAACCATTTCGATTCGTTATTTTTGATTTTTTTCTAGTTACAGGGATTGACTATTCTTCCGCTGAAGTATTTGGTCGTCTCAATCGAAATATGTCTAAAAAAGGTATATGCCTGATACTGAGCGGCTTCAGTGGCCGTGAAGAGCTACAGTCAACACTAGAATCTGTTGGGATCAATCAAAGCAGCGGCGTCAAAATGTTTAAGGATTTAAATTCTGCACTTGAGGATTGTGAGAATGAACTTCTCAAAACATTCTATGCAAGCCAAGAATCACGGAACCAACAAACGATGTTAGTCAGGAGCCTGGATGTTCCTAAACTTCCAATTTCGCATCTGCACGCGTTAGTTGGCTCTTATGGCTCACCACGGCGTAGTCAATTGCGTCGAGCTGCTGCAATAACTTTGGACGAATGTCCAGGTGTAGCAAAACATCTTCACTTGAAAGAGCCTCTCCGGCTTATTCTTCAAATATTTTCAATATTGACAGATAAAAACGAGGATTTTTGGCTTCGTGCTGCTCCATACTTCAGTCAAATCCATTTCCTATCAGGCACTGTAATTTTCCGGAGAGGTGATCCAGCCGAGGGATTCTATCTTCTTCAAAAAGGTATTATGCGTGCCGACTATGACTTACCACAGGGGCATTTTAGCGAAAGCATAGTCGCCGGCACAACCTGTGGTGAGCTACCTTTCTTCTCTGGAACAGTCCGCACAGCAACAGTAGTTGCAGACTGCGATTGTATAGCTTGGGTCATGGACTGTGAGAGCTGGGCTGAGATGCAAAGGACTGAACCGGACGTCGCACAAGAAGTTTTACGGGTTGGTTTAAAATTAACTTCGGAGCGGATGAACACTATTACAAATTATTTCCTTACAACAGCAAGTTAGTCTAGTAGCTTACAGTTAAGGCACTACATGATTAAGGCGTAAAGACCAACCATTTCTACCTCATTGCGTCATGATCTCCGCAAATTTGGAAAAAAAAAGCTTCGTCTAAGCTTCAAAAGCTTGAATACCCATAGGAATAATATTTCAGTCCCTTAAGCTTTACTCTCCAATATCTCCCAGAGATATTTATACCGACATTGAATCATTTCGACCGAATTCTCTGTTTATTAGTGTAAACTTGACAATAGGCTAGGCCTTGAGGAATAAAACTTCTCACAGTTCTTTGTCTATTTGGCTTCGCTCTCTCTAGAAATCATAACTTGCTCGGTCACATAAATCTCATACGAAGGTCGACATATCTACCTCACCATGCGGCATCGCATACAAATAGCTCTACATGAAATGCTTACGATTAGCTGATACTTTATTAAATATTCAACAATGAGAGAAATAACAAATAGAGCTAATATTTTTGGCGTAAATGTACCTCTGGACTGCATCGGACTAGACTAGACAATAAATTAGCTTTCACTGGGTCTAGGTTTACGAAATACTGCTAAATGTTAATTATAAAATTCCTTACTTAGCACTAGGTCAATAGATTTTGGATTTATTCAATAATTTTAAGCTGTACTGCCGATGATGATGCGCAGTATGTTTATTTCGAAATGTTGAATTATTTTGGCTTCAGCCTTGCAGTAGAAGTTACTCGGGCTGGTTATCCTTGAATCCACTAAAGCTGGGAGATAGTCAGAGATGTCTAAGGTTGTTTTGACTAGAATTTACGTTTCTGAAACGGTGCTGTGTTTAAATTTGCTTACATGCATCATGATCTGAAACGGTAGGGACACGCGTAGTTATCTAGGAAATCTCATGATAGTAATATGGGAAATTATTGTGGTTTAGACCTTCATACCTCCATAATTCAGTTTAAAATTTAGCAGAAAAACATAGTCAAGGAATTCAATATTAGATTTTGGTAAAGGGTCACAGTTTAAATCATATTTTTTTTAAATTATTCATCTATATAGCTATGATAACAGTTGTCATGTGATGTGATATTTTTCATTGTCCTAATTGAGTCTTAGACTATCTAGCACATTGGGCTTCTCTCTGGCCCAAGTCACACCTTGAACAGTCCTCCTATCCTCTTTTATAACTTGAGAGTTCTCTGATATATTGTCCGTGATGGATAGCCATTCAGCTCAGTCGTTACCCATGGAATTCAGTCACCTTTTCCGCGGAACCTTCTACCAAAAAAATAGTAGCAATGGAAACTGCGTGCACAGGAAAAAGTCTAAAAAATACCTGCAGCACCAGCCAGGCAAGGCTTAGACACTGGGACCATGTGAGGTGCGCATATTCATCTATATCTCCCTTCTTTGTAACAGTCGAGGCCGACTTGATCAAATCCGCCATCTCCGTATCGGGTACTGAGTACGCTCCGGAAACTCATCGGATGGCTTTTCCTCCATGATCAAGGGTTGGTGATGATTAGGGCTCCGACCCTATCATCTGATCTGGTGGTGGTTAGCTTCATGATAATGTTGATAGGGGAATGTGTTGAGAGATGAGGACGATACAGACGGCGAAAGCGATTGGGAATCCTCGTCGAAGTGAGGACTTTGTTACTCAATCTCGCCTCTGTAGACTCTACAGTGAGAGCTGAAGGTTCGTAGGGGACATGAATGACAGGTGCTGTGAATAGTCCTCCTCAGTCATCTGTAAACCCCTTGCATTATCCACAAGCAGTAAAATATCCAAATACTTTTCGGGTGTCCACTACGCCATTTAGCCTGTTGGCGATGTGGTAAAGCTACTTACTCATGGGCCGTCATATCGGCAGTCTGACGACTTTACTCATCCGGTCATTGACGCAGGCTGGAGAACAAGCTTTTGCGACCACCTAAGCTCAATTAATCCTTTGTGGCAACACAAACCTCGCCCTCCAACCGGGCACATTTTACAAATTTGCGGAGAGGATAATGGGTGGTATATTGGAAGAGTGCGATATACTACTGAAAATTTAATACGGCTCTTTGAGGGTTAGACTTAGGATTAGCGTCCCTTGCAGGCTTATACTACTCCGCCCGTATCTGTGGGGGGGGAGTGGAAAATATAATTGAAGTCACTCATGAGTCTGTGACTGTAAGTGACTACAGAATGCTGCCTAAATTCTATTAAAAATTAACTTGTTTTTAGATATCCTTTATTTTCAAAATTTTCCAATTGACTCTATGGATCTCGCCCTTTGTGGAATAAGAGGAGCAAAACCGATAAGCTCACTCACTCACTCGAGTGATCTGTAATACCAATAGATACCCTTGGGTGTCTGCAGATCTCTGGCGCTCTGCCAGACTGAGGATCCAAGATTGACAGACCTCTGGATTGGTACGAGGCTCTCATAAATTGTAATGCTTAAGTAATGTTGCTCACGTTGGAGTTCGGGCGCAAGATAAGGAATACTGTACTTATATAGACGATACCCTGTGTTAATAGAAAACCAAGTTACATCTAGTCTTAAGCTCTACTATACATATGGGTAGATTGGAGCCATGAGACACCCGTAACCTACGCCATCTTAAAGCTAAGCTTATCTCACTTTTCACACATACTAATCCATCAGGAACCTCAGGGCCATGTGAGACGGGCTAGGACTATCGGCCAAGGCACGAAAGCAATGCCACTATTAAATGTTTATATTTTCTATGAGGAATTTAGAAGCGGGAAGTTACGGCGCTTTGTAACTACAATACCTGTTCCGTATCCCCTGGCCCTCTACACGTTATCTGATAATAATCTCGTATAGTGAGTAGATTTACAAACTCGCTTGCGCTTACGAGTTGAGGATGGGCCCTATAGCCTTAAACAGTCCAGCCATAACCAGCCGGGCCCAACCCCTGACACCAGGCTGGTGACGCCTCTGTATAGATTCCAACTCCGATAGCGACACATAGTCCTCGCTCGAATTGCTGGAAATGGAACATCGTAATGACATAAAGGCGCCTAAAAGTGTGTGCCCACATGAGGGTCAGTGAAGGTCTCACTGCTGGATAGAGGCCGTAAAGGAGACATTCCGCGACACGATGCAGAGCGTCGCAAACTTTTAGGACAAAACGTAGCAAGGGGAGAGCGCAGGTTATGCTCATTCGTATGGAAGCCTAACTGTCAATTTTCACTTATTATCGAGCCCCAACAACTTTGCGTGGTTCGATACACACCATAATCTAGACAGCAACTAATCTGCTTGTTATCTATTTAAATCACTTAATGTGGATTCAGATATCTAGCTATGATACATGACGGGACTATGTTTACAAATTGGATGACTCTTTTGACGTTAGAGACACTCGTAAATGAATTATTCATTATCCTGATTCGGCGCCTTGATTCCCATGCAGGTTTTAATCGGAAGATATGTACTTCAAGCAGGATGACTCAATTTGACGTTAAGAACACTCACTCTCAGATTTCATTTGCAGATACCTCTCAAGGTTAACCCTTACGGCGTATAACCTCTTCCGCGCATACCCACTACAGGGAAAAGCCTGAAAACCCTGTGGCTATTCGAGTGTGCTTTCATCATCCCACAAGTACAATATCACCGCGAGAGAGTGTGGTGTATGGGTTTTACAGGATTCGAACCAGCTTTCTCCTGTCTCAAATGGGGTAGGTGTTCAAGCTACCCAGTATCTACTTGGGAGAACGGCCTGAATAGTGTACCACTGCACCATTCAACCCTGGAGACACTCATACTATTACAAGCTGTGCCTATCTCCTAGTGGCTATCGTATCGATACTTATTTTATTTTTGCATTGGACTTTAATTGCGTATGCAGCTATCTAGCTTGATTTGATTTGTATTTGTATTCAGACGAAAGTCTACTATGCTGGGCTACAGTTCATAGGCAAGATGCAGATCAACAACAGGCATATGGAACTTACTAAATGCGCACATGAGGGCATTGAAGAAGATACTAGAATAGCCTCATGCACTAGTTGGAAGTGACAAGGGATCACAGAGAGGTGTATTAAAATCAGACTCTCGTAGTAGTATAGAAGAATGAAGGAGTGAGTTCTTTTGATGATTAATTGCCTTCCCGATCTGGCTCAGTTACATACGATCTCGTGACTTTCGCATAATTTTGCTGTGAATTCTTACAGTGTTCATTAGCCTGATCTGGCGCCCTATGGGCCCATGCAGGTGGCTATAATCCTATCTATATATTTACATCGGACGAAATCTCTCGGTGAAAATGCCCCAAGCTTTTTGATTTAATTCTTAGAGTTTGCAATTTATTCTTCAGGGACTACAGTTACACTGTTACGTCGTCGATATGTACCAATCACGTCCCTTCTATCGACCCCAACCTTGTACATGTTCCGTCTCGTTCACTGGGCAGCATTTCGATTGCATTTGTCATGCGGAATTGTTGTATCCAACCATGATTAAGAATCCATCGTGTGATTCTTTTCATATCGCTGTGATTGTTCGTCATTGCTTCATAGGATCGATTTCGGGCTTGTCTCCAGATTTCTCCTCTACCAATTGACCACCTGGGGCAGGACATGATCAGGTGCTTGGGATTTTGTGATTTGTAGCCACACGGACAACTTGGGTGATAAACTCCTGCTACTTTTCTTCTGTGTAAATAAGAATTGAGCCCGATATGCTCGCTTCGAATTTGGATTGCTAAGCTACTTTGGGCCCTCGTCAGGTTTTTGTGGAGAGAAAATGATGACTCCCGGAAGCCTATTATAGTACGTCCAGAATGGCGGCATTGGTAGAAATTTGCTGCTGCCCAAGTTTTAGGATACAGCTATCTAGCTATGATACAATATCGGAGAAGTGTATACTAGATGACTCAATTTACAAGAGGAGGACTCATCCCCCGGATTTCTTTTGCAAGTACCACTGCGAAGTTATGGCGGCTTTTTCTTCACCCCAAGCCAACCTTCATTCGTGAATATCCACCCAGGGGAACGTCTCAAAAACCCTG